GGACTTTTTGCAAGATCCGATCGGATACCGGATAATGACACTGGTTACTCTACTAGAGAAAAATTAATAAACCAACACCAGCAATAATAATTTAATAATTATAACAAAAAGACCTACCTATTGATAATTAAGATTGTATTGGGATAGATCGTTTGTTCTTATTTGCGTTATTTATTGATTATTATATTAAATTATTTGTTGTTTCGATGTAATTCTTCTGCTTACCTTTCTATTTAACAAGAATATATCAGTATGACCGAACTGTTACAATTTTGGTCGCTTGTTGGTATATCAGATTTGAATTAACAATGATTTATAAAATCACTATCCAGTGCATCTCAAGTATTCACCCAGAAACTTTGGTGAACTTCATCATTATCATAAGGTCGTCAGTTCCAAGACTGTTTGGACACATACCTCCACTCTTTCCTATTCTGAGCTAATCTTCGCATTTCCCTAAAACTAGAACAACCCACATCCTTAACTATTTGCGAACAGTAACAGGTCTATCTCTACACATTTTGTTAACTCCTGTTTCTGCCTCTAGTATGTCTCTGAATAGACCTTTATGTCTGAGAAGGTGTTCTACCAACCTATCTCGACTACTTCTTATTGACTTCCATAGAGTCCTCTGTTCTCCCATTCTTTCTAATACCTCTTCATTTCTAACCTTCTCTATCCACGGTATCCTCATCATTCGCCTGTAACACCACATTTCGTACGCTTCTAACCTTTTCTTTTCCGCTGAGCCGCCCCGGGCCAAGAACTTAACGTTCTTTTTTAGCCATTGTTTGATGTTTTCTGATATACTAGCTAATGATGGAATGTTTACATTTTGGACTAATAGTTAAAATAATTGTTAAGATGAAGGGTCCCCTACCCGAAAGATCTGAGAGAATCCTGTGGTTCTGTCGAGGTCGTTCTTCCGTTTTAAATATAATAGACTGTTAACTTCAAATTCACACACGAAAGAAATTATTGTGTGAAAAAACTGTGCTTGGAGGGAATGTTTTTAATTTTCTTTTAACATAAATTAACACTTTGAAAGCATGAACATCATGTCCTTTTAGATTGGCCAAAGACGAAGATGGCTTTAAGTAAGATGGTGTTAATTAAATATGTCTACAATACCTGCTCCGTACCCTTACTTTAGACAGTAAATAGTGATATTAAAAATTACCTATACACGGTTTGATTTATGTGTGATGTATAGCGTCTAGCAAGGAAGAGTTAGAGGCAGTGTTAAACAAAACGGTAGCTATATTGACAGAAGAAAACGGAATAATGAAAATAAATAAAAGTAAATCAAACATATTGCTAGGTAAGGGAGGTGAATGTACGGTTAGAGCTAATATAGAACCTAGGAGGTCAGTAAACTCTCAAGATGCTAAAGCGGCAGAAACATAAACCCCTCTTGGGAAACCCTAAATTTGATTCAAGAGTAGTCTAAATGATAGTTTATGATGTTACATACTTTGAAGTTAACAAAATTTCAATTGGATTATACATAGTTTTTGTTTTGAATATGTGACTGGTGTTGTTGAATGCAAGATGAATCCAACGTCCTTGGCAATCAAATTATCATATTCAAGATTCTCAAATACGCAAAGTGCATCATTTTCTATGTAAAATATAGAGTATTGCAATGCACGGAGGTGAAACAAGGATGATGTCACATCGTGGTAGAGAAAGGTTGGAAGTCTTTGAATCTAATGATGAAGGCGAGTGATTAGGATTTGTTGAACGGAAAACAAGACAAATGGAGACAATATTAAAAATAGGAAAGAAAAGTGTTAGGGTATTGGCTACACCACGACGAATTCCTAAATATCATAGTGGAAGAACAAAAAGGAAGCAGACCAGAAAGGAGAGCAAACATGGATTAGGTAAAGGAAGAAATGAAGGTCGTAGCGTACCAACAAGTCATTGTCGGGGTGGCATCTAAAAAGGAATGGAGGATCAAGATTTTTGCTGATAATATTTGAATAACTCGTATTTTTGTTCTGGAGACTTATCAAATCTCGATAGATATTTCCGATCTTGTAACCTTAAGCTTTTGAACGAAAAAGTAAATAACGTATATTTTGATTACGAGCTACGGCCTTGTCGATGGGGCATTCTCTATTCATCTCTAGACTCCACCACATCTTTGCTTCTTGGTAGGTCAATGTGGTCACTTTATCCTTTACCTGTTCCATCTATGTTCTCCTAGGCTTCATAGATTTCTTTTGTCAGGTACCTTTCCTTCCCTTATGGTTCCTAGCATCTTCTCTCTTTTATTTCCAACGATTTTTAATAAATTTCTCTTTTTCTTTACCATCTGTAGAACTTTGTCTTCTTTGTTTTCTTTCCTGTCCAGCTAAGAAGGTTAGAAATGAAGAGGTATCAAAAAGAATAGGAGAACTGACGACTCTATAGAAGTCAATAAGATATAGGCAAGATGGGTAGGTAGGGCACCTTCTTAGGCATGAAGGTCTAGTCAGAAACATATTAGAGGCAGAAACAGGAGTAGGAGGAGTAGAGGTTGACGTAGATTAGATTACTGTTTGCAAATAGTTTAGGATGTGGGATGTTCTAGTTTTAGGGAAATGCGAAGATTAGCTCAGGATAGGAAAGAGCAGAGGTGCGTGTCCAATGAGACAGAGCGGCATGGCCTAGAGGTTTAGACCATTGCTTAGCATTCGGGTGGACGCCGGTTCGATTCCGGGTCCGTCTGCCTTGGTCCAAGTTTTTATGTGGTTTCCTTGGACCACTTAGGCAAATGCTAGGGCGGTAATATTCCACAGATAATCGTTCATTCTCTTCTGTCTTCATTTCGTCCGTCTCATCTTTCTCACTCGAACCACCACCCACCCATTCCCACGACTCCTGAAAGCAGGCTGAACAGGGCCTTCCGCCCTACCTTCCGTCGTAGTCCGGAGGGACTGCCCGCCCACCAGCATTACTGGCTGGTGGGAATGAAACACCCAGAAGTTTTTTGTCCAATCAGTCTTAGGATTGACGATCTTCGATGCTGAACGAATTACTACAAATGGCGCAAATGGTTCAGTGGTTATGAAGCTCGTTTAGCATGCGGGCGACCCCGGTTCTGTTCTTGGTCAATTCAGTACCTTTTTTGTGTACGCAACTCGTTTAGATGCCGCTGTCGGCAGTGGAGGTACAGCCTAATTTATTATTTTATACATTTTGTTTTGAAACGCGTCCGGCTCATCCACCAGAAAGAGTGGCTCCAGTTAAATTTGAACAAATTATTTCGCTTCTAAGGATGTATAGGAAGGGAATGATCCCCGTTATTGAGAAGGCACATTTTATCGCGCGTTTGGTTCAATTTCGTTCAAAATCTTTAGATTAACTTTGTACATACACGTGCAAAGTTATGAAGTTGGTTTTTGTACATAAGTATATTGAAACTATCAAATTTAGGAACTATCGATCAAAGTTCGCCTAGTGTGCAGTTTTGGATCGTACTTATAGCAAATATTAAATTTCCTAGTCGTTTATTTTCAATTTCGCTCGCTGGCGGCTTCGTTCAGTTATAAATATCGGTATCGTCAAGATTGAATGCACTTTAGTTAAAGTGGAGTGACATTTTACGACATAAAGAAAAAGGCTTTTACGCCACATAGAGATAGATGTCGACGCTTTCTGTCGCATTTACTTTGCTCATCTCTATCAGCGATAAATATCTACTTCCTGCACTATTTTAAAATGTAATTCTACAGTAAAAAGTTACATGGATGTGCGTTTTTGTAGGATAAATGTTGGAAGGAGGCTAATATTGTCTAATTCTACCTAGTACATTATCTCTTTTTTTAATTTTACCCCGATTCTAGTTTCTATTTGTTCTTATTGTAATATAAACTAAAAGGGAGATGAAAAAGACAATGTCTGATGCAATTCTCTTCATTATAAGGTCGCCAGTTCCAAGACTAGTTGGACACGCTCCTCTATTCTTTCCTATCCTGAGTCAATCTTCGTATTCCTCTAAACCTAGAACAACGCATCCTTAAGTATTTGTGAATAGTGACCTAACCTAGATCCACCTCCACCCCTCCTAACTCCTGTTTCTGCTTCTTATATGTTTCTAACTAGACCTTCATGCCTGAGAAGGTGTCCTACCAACCTATCTCGCCTATTTCTTATTGACTTCCATAGAGTCCTCTGTTCTCCTATTCTTTCTAATACCTCTTCATTTATAACCTTCTCTATCCACGGTAATCTCATCAGTCGCCTGTAACACCACATTCCGAACGATTCTAACCCTTTTTTTTCCACCGCACCCACTGTCCATGTTTCGCACCCATACAGCGCCGTGCTCCAAAGATAAACTTTAACAACTTTTTTCGAATTTCTAAATTAAACGTTCGTGAGCATAGTGTGACTTCTTTTCATTGAAGGCGATTCGACCCTGAGCTATCCTCTGCTTGATATTCCTACTACTCCTTCCGTCCTGACTTATGTGACTTCCTAGACACCTAAAATCGGCTACTTCTTCTAATTCTTCGTCTCCTATCTTTATATTTGCTATTTCCCTATTTTTTTTCTTCCCATGCATACCAGTACTTTAGTTTTACTTTTATTTATTTTCATACAGTACTGATCTGTCAGTACCGCATCCTTTACCCACTACAGATAACCTTAAATTAGTGAGGAAAAATTGTTCGTGCTGTAACTCCCTCGCCGGGAATCGAACCCGCGTCTCCGGTTTGTACTCACCACTAAGCCGCGAAGAGGTAACAGCTGGAACACTGGTGATACGTACTTAAGAGTATAGGTTGCAAAAGTAAAATTGTTGCTGATGTTACAAAAATTGATAATTTGATAGTGTCTTACAGAAATCTCGTTGTTGATCTTAAAATTTGTCCTGTCGCCCTGTAGGTTGCTTATATATTATGTTTTTAGTTTTTATTTAATACTTTATGTGTTTTCTTAGTTTTAGTTTTTTTTTATATATATATCAAGCCTTGTTTATTCTAAACCAAACATTTTTCTTGTTTCAGAGAAAACATGGAAAAAGTGAACATACAATTTCACGATAATGGCACAGTGTCGTATCAGCACAAGAAAATTCTACAGTTTGTTCCAGAGTTGTCAGTTGATAAAAATGAAAAGTTAACCGTACCAAACATTCCTTTACTGGTAAGTAAAAGCATAATAATGTCACTTCTGCTAATCCTAAATAAGTCATAGCATTCTCCGTAAACGAAAATATCGCATATCGCTTACTATTATTTTATCTAATATAGGTCTCTTTCTGCTACACTCTACTCGTTTTCTTTTTCTAATATATCTCTAACTAGCATTGTGTGGCTGTGGTTGTCTAGTCGCCACAATTTTCAATAAACGGAAATGGTCCAGTGGTATCGACGTACGGCTGCCATCGAGGCGGGCCCGGTATCTGTACTCGGTCGAAGCTATAACTTTTTTTTCAATTTACTTGTGTTTATTAACCTTCTACTAATTTTTTTTATTAATATTAAATTAATTGACCGAAGCGTGTTTTTCTTTGATTGGTTAGGATCATAATGATACGTCTTTTATTTTTGTCAGCGTTCACAACTGTGTGATAAATTGTCTAATTACCTTTTTACATTCTTCATGCATAATTCCGTCGAAATGATATGGTTTAATTTATGTGAAACTGTGACATTTAAATTACAGAAGCATTTATAACGTGCCTGTGGCTAATACTGTTTCGAATTAATTAATATTTACAGTCTGACTTAACTGTCGTATAAACAAATGTGAATATAATTTGTCCCTATTAATTTAATATGAAGGTATGCATGAAAGGAGAACCAACTGATAGTTATTAATGGAATATATGTTTCGGCTGCTAGAGATTATTTTAATTATGATCAACTACTATTTAAACGGCGAGTATCGTTTACAGATTGCTATAAAGCATATAGTAATTGCACAGTTGAGTCAATTGAAATTGTTTTGGGATCCGTCAAATGGGCAAACACCATCTGGTGGCAAAATTTATAACTCGAATGAGGGAAAAATTTACATAGGAACTGTGCACGCAAATTGTAAAATTGTTTATTAAAATAATAAAACACGTTAAAAAAGTAAAAATTTTTTTGATGATGGAGTCGACGAAGTTTTCTTCTAAAGTTAAATCAAATAAAAAGTTAATATGTTCAGTGAAAAGCTGCAATAGCACTTCAGACATAGATCTTCACTCTTCACCTACATTAACTACTTTCCAATAAAAACTAACCGTTTTATATATGTAAAAAATATATTCGGAAAATTAGAGAAAAAAGTAAACTAATAGAAGCTTGGATGAAAGCAGTAGGTATCAAAGAAGTGAATTCCGGAATAAAAATTTGTTCACGTCATTTTAATGCACATGATTATATTTCAGCAAGTATTTACCATCAGCCATAACCTTAATATTTAAAACTAGAATCATACTAAAATTATAAAGTGAGAAATTATTTATTCCTGTGTAATTGATTTAACACAATTCTAATGATACGATATAAGTATTTTGAGGTTAAGAACCTACCTGCTGCAATACAACAAAGTTGCAATAATGTGTTTGCAACGTTCTCTTAAATCGGCTTTGCACGTGCAAGTCATTGATATGATATTGCTTAAATCACCCAGAATCACCTCACCAATTATATAACGTGAATCACTTTTTAAATCCGAAGTTTGTAAAAAGTAGGCAGTAAACTTGACGGAATTTGAAGGCTAGCTTCCGGATTTGTTATTTCCGAATTTTATAATGTGATTGGCATTAAAACACGCTCACCTTCAACGAAATTGTGTCAATACTTTATCATTTTATCGTAATTTAAAAACTTTGAAAATTGCACGGTACACTATGGGAACTACGATAAATTTTCCCTAATCGGCGCCATGTTTTTAGGCTCCTCCCATTTGACGGATTCCATCAGGGAGAAACATTTGCTAAAATAATGTTGCAATCGTAAGAATTGTAAGGATATAAACATTTCAACCCGCCCACATTATTCCAATTGTTCAGTTCCAGTCGGATAAGCCAAAACTAGCAGTTTTTGATTAAAAGGTTTGATTAACCGAAAACTGATTACATCTTGGTGGCACAATTCGATCCTTTAATTTAATATTTTAATAGTCATCTAGTTCTAATATATCATGAGAGGAGATAGTGGATCGTCGAGTGATTGTTTCGGTCAGTATTTACTGGAGATGGACTTTTTGCAAGATCCGATCGGATACCGGATAATGACACTGGTTACTCTACNCAGTTCCAGTCGGATAAGCCAAAACTAGCAGTTTTTGATTAAAAGGTTTGATTAACCGAAAACTGATTACATCTTGGTGGCACAATTCGATCCTTTAATTTAATATTTTAATAGTCATCTAGTTCTAATATATCATGAGAGGAGATAGTTGCAACAGTTTTGATTGCAAGGCAAAATCTTCTGTTGTCCGATTCCATTCGCTAATATCATTCACACCACCCAATAAAATGTTACTATACCGTATTGTAGAAGGTAAATCGATCGCCTTAATGGCTTTTTATACATCTATTACCATTTTTCTACAATATTTACAGAAAAAAGGTGCAATTTTTAACCATTTTTTTGGCCGGCTAACTCAGGAGAGATAAGCAGACACAGCTACGATAAATTCATTAAATCTGGAAGAAAATATCATTAGTTTGGAACGTTATTCATAAGAAATCAGTTGATAACTTAATTCCACCTTTTCTAGACTGAATCTGATGTTTTAAAGAGCGTTTTTACGAATCACCCTGTATATTTTTAAATCGAATCAAAACACATCACTAGTCATTGTTTATTTTGAGACTCCAGTAGTTTAATATTGCAATAACGAGATAAAATGAAGCATGTTCTTTTGATTCTAGACGCTTTCAACGAAATCAAACTCCCTGGGATTCTTTTTGCAAAAGACTATCTCTCTCGTCCTGTCAATGGGAAACTTCAGGCCATTTGTCAACGTCACAGCTGAAGAGCTGGTGTTCGGTTATGAAGACAGCTTGGTGGCGCTGGCGCACCGGCTATATCGGAAAAATAAACGGCCTTCGTCGAAAATGGGACTGCTTATTGCGGTAAGTTCTCCGATTGTTGATGAAACCAAGTATTTTTATTTTATATTAATAAAAATTGTCGCTGTTATGCATGAAGTACTGTCGTTTGTGATGTACTCAATAGCATGAATAAAAGATGAAGTTTAAACCAGTGAAATAACCCCCAAAAGAACAAGTATAGTAGGGAAAGAGTGAATATAAAGATAGGAGACGAAAAATTAGAAGTTGTTGATTTTCAGTATCTAGGAAATTAGAAGATTTAGGATGAAAGGAGAAGTAGAGATATTAAGGAGAGGATAGCGCAGGGTTGAGTCGGCTTTAACAGAAAGAAGTCACTTCTACGCTCGCGAACAGTTACTTTAGAAATTTGAAAAAGATTGTCAAAGTGTACATCTGGAGTGCGGTTTTGTGCAAGTGCGAAACATGGACGGGGAAATGACGGAAAAAAACTAGTTAGTAGCGTTTTAAATGTAGTATTATAGACGATTGATGTGGATAGAGCAGGTTAGAAATGAGGAGGCATTAGAAAGAAAAGGAGAACGGAAGACTCCATAGAAGTCAATAAGAAATAGACGAGACAGGTTGGTAGGTCGCCTTCTGGGGTATGGTGAGCTAGAGGAAAGGTAGACTTAGATTAGATTACTGTTCACAAATAGTAAGGATGTTTTGGGGAAATGCGAAGATTATCTCAGGATAGAAAAGAGTGGAGGTGCGTGTCGAACCAGTCTTAAGACTGACGACCTTATGATGATTATGACTCTGATACTTAATAGGAAATTGAATAAGGTAGTAACATTTCTTTCTGCCAACACTTGGTTGTTTGAGGTAATCTCAGTAACTCCCGAATGGATTTTGAGAATTCTTTCATTATCCACCAGGTCATAATCTCTCTAATGTAATGTTGGCTACAGCTTATGTTACTACGACATGAAGGAGGGCCCTTTATTCGCCACATACTTACTACAACAGGTGAATTTATCGACAATCAGAAGTATCGCCCAACAAGTTCTTTCAAACAGTAATGCTACTCTCCGCTAGGTGACAGTGGGCAACTTAAAGTAGGTACATGAGTCTTAATCAGTGTTTATTGAAACAGGAATTACATTTGGGCAGTTAGTTGTAGCAACAAATAGTTAAACCAGATTAAATATTCAATATTCTTTGTAGGGATATAAAGCAGAGGATAGCAGGGTCGTGTCGCCTTTAATAAAAGGAAGTCACTTCTTTGCCCGGGTTATTTAGAAATTCGAAAAAGGTTGTTAAAGGTGTATGTTTGGAGCACGGCGTTGTACGGGTGCGACACATGGACAGTGGGCGCGACGGAAAAGAAAAGGTTAGAAGCGTTCGAAATGTGGTGTTATAGGCGGATGATGAGGATATCGTGGGTAGAAAAGGTTAGAAATGAAGAGGTATTGGAAAGAATAGGAGAACAGAGGACTCTATGGAAGTCAATAAAAAATAGGCGAGATAGGTTGATAGGACACCTTCTTAGGCATAGGTCTAGTCAGAGATATATTAGAGGCAGAAACAGGAGTTAGGAGGGATAGAGGTAGACCTACGTTAGAGGATGTGGGCTGTTCTAGTTTTAGGGAGATGCGAAGATTAGCTCAGGATAGGAAAGAGTGGAGGTACGTGTCCAACCAGTCTTAGGACTGACGACTTTATGATAATGATAATCCTTTGTTAATATTTCCACTGCAATCATGACAGTGCCCCTACAATTTAGATTAAACGCCACTGTTGTCTTGAAGTTTGAAACAAGACACATGTAAGGCTCGGTTAATCAAGTAGGTAACTCATCCAAATGTTCCTTTATGTTGAGTACGGTCCTGTCAAAACTGCAATTACCGTGATATATACTCGGACATTACCCATTACTATTATAGTTATTATTATCAAGTGCTTTGAGGGTAAATGTAGGTTGCGTTTGTGTGTGTGTGCGCACACGCAAACACTTTTACGTACCCATCGGATATTAAACGATGTAATAAATCTCTGAAATGAATAATGAATAATTGTTAAATCAACCCCGGACAAAACGTTGTAGGGAAGACGCTGATGCAGACCGCAGGGGGCGCATCAATCAAACATCAAGAGAGTGAACGCCCCTCCGCTGCGATGATCCATTTTCTTCGCAAACAGGTGCAATTCCTCCACCTGTTCGATAATAAATTTGAATGCGATACTTTTCGCGACTACAAAAGAACACCGTGAAATATGGGAATGTATAGCGTTGCTTGAGCTGCGGCAAACTTTGATTCAGAGCCGACGCCTAGTGTCGCGACGGTACATTACATGAGATAAATTTACGCGTATCTGAAGATCCGCAACCGAGTATAAGATCCTTCGCAATTTGAAACAATAGATACAGTGTACAGTAAGTCCAATAAGTGTGAAATCTTGACTAAAATTTACAGAGAAGGATGGAAAAAACGGCAGAAGAACTGTTAGGGGAAGATCAATTTGGTTTTAGAAGAAATGTCAAACCTAGATTAGATTACTGTTCGCAAATAGTTAAGGATTTGGGTTGTTCTATTTTGGGGAAATGTGAAAATTAGCTCAGGATAAGAAGAAAATCAGAATGTCATCGTAGTAGGTGAATATGATCGTTATCATCATCTTTATCACACTAGAGTGAATCATCTGGTCTTCTAGATTCCGAAAATCAACGACTTCCTCTAATTTGTCTCCTCCCATTTGTATTTTATCTCATTCCGAACTTTTTTCTGCTTTGCATACTGATATTTTGGTTTTACTTGTATTTATTTTCATATCATAGTCTTTTGTCAATACCGCTTTCATTGAACTCCCTCCTTGTTATATGCTATTCGTTTTCCTGTAACTGTATCTATCCCTAATGTTGTCATGTCCAGAGTTATGGACTGGAAAGTATTTTCTCCTTCTGTATCTATAGTAAAACAGTATAATCTCAGTACGCATCACATGGGATGACCTTCCGTGCTCAAAAATTTCGTAACTGAAACTTAAGGTGTCGGTCACATCTGTCAAACTCATACAGATTTTTGTCAGTATTTCTAGTTTTATTCGTTGATGTTTCACGAAGAGCTAAAGGTCCTCAGTTAACGTTCTATGGCATTACCAGACATGTCATGGGCAATACCAAAGCGAAATACTGGCCAAACCTGCAAACTACTCAAAAGCTTCTTTCTACTTTTTCCTTTTCTTTTGTGCCTCTTTGAGCCTGTAGTAATGTGGGCCCCAGGATTAGCTTTCACGACCAGAGTGCATCTGACGAGAATTTTCCGAGCTGTGGTTTATCCGAATTTCGAAATCTTCCAGACGCATCTTATCCAAATCTGGCTGCATCAGACAATTTCACTTTGAATTCAGCAGCTGAAACCTTCACTAAAAGTACAAAATGGCAGTCCACGTCTAATACTTTCAATAAATTATTGACCAAAACCTCAATGTTATTTATTACTCTGGTTTCGTTTCGTAGTTTCAAATTGACAAGTATATTCTTTCGTAAACCTCTTGTCAAGCACTTGAAGTATTATAGTTAACAGCAAATATCACGAGATGGCGATATGGGTAACTTATTAAATTATATCAACTATAAGTTGTATGCATACTATTGTAACTATTCGACCATCGATTAAGTTGGCAGTAAAGCTTCCATCCTATGAGTCGTGCAAAAAGTGCATCCCTCGGTTGTTAGACACCACTACCAACCTGTTAAAACTTACGTTACTGAAGCTCTCTCGTTGCTCTATTCTCCTTCTTCCTTTTTTCTTTTCTTTTGTGCCTCTTTGAGCCTGTAGTGAGGTGGGTACTAGAATAAATCCTTTGGTAAGGACGGTAAAGAACTCTAGACATGAAAATGCATTTCACGCCGCATTACCCGCACTACGACGACGCTACTGCACCGAACGAGCGGACTATTTTAAAAGGAGATTGTTGAAAAGGAGAAAGACGTGGAACGTACGGCATTCCTTAATAATTGAATTTTTCCTTATTAAATCGCAAAAGTTCGACGGTATTCCGTACACTATTGGAATTTATAATTTCGAGAAAAGAAGGAAATCACTTCGATCCATTTTCTGCAGTAAATCACTAGGTTATTACTGTTAAAACAGTGAACACTCAATAATCTGAACAACAGTTTACATTGTCGATTTTGTCACCTTAAAAATGTTGTATTTATGGTTAGCAAAATAAACATACAAAAAACATTTTCACTTTTAGAAAATACTACAAATGGCGCAGTAAACGCCATCTGTAGCACGATGCTACATTTTAGGATTACGTATGCTCCAACAAGTTCCACTTGTGTGGATATCTACTTGCTGAAAACGAATCCCGGCGTAGCCAACCTCAACGTGATTGGCACGTTATCTTAATCGAATAAAATAATTCGAAGTTGTCTGTATTCTGCCTGCGACGCGCTGATAAGATCCAAAAGATCGAAATCGCGATCCGCGTCTGGCAGTTTCGACAGAACACAGACCAACTTTTACCTGCTATCTTAACAGTGCGTTTTAGAAAACACCACAAATGGCGCGGTAAACGCCATCTGTAGTACGATGCTACATTTTAGGATTACGTATGCTCCAACAAGGTCCATTTAAATATATGGATATCTACTTGCTGAAACGAATCCCGGCGTAGCTAACCTCAACGTGATAGGCACGTTACCATAATCGAATAAAATAATTCGAAGTGGTTTCTATTCTGTCGAAACTGCCAGACGCTTACCGCGATTTCGATCTTTTTGAATCTCATCAGCGCGTCGCAGACAGCTCCAACAGAACACAGGCAAAAATTTAACTTCTGTCTTAACAGATGGTATTGGGATGTTCTAGTTTTAGAGAAATGGGAAGATTGACTCAGGGTAGGAAGGAGGTGCTTGTGCAACCAGTTTTAGGACCATCAACCTTATAATATTTATGAATTTTTAGGTGTAGACGCAGCAGTCTGCTTTGCCTTTCTTTCCTGTCAATAATGCCTATTTTTATATAGCATTTTTAATTAGATTTCTTTTAGTTTAAGAGTGTAGGTAGTGAGTATAGAACAGAAAACATCGGTAACTATATAATTACACTACGTGACTATTACAGCTCATAATTAGAGAATTTTGATTAAATCTAACTAAATATGAAGATTGGAAAAACTTTGGCGGTTGTTGTAGAACAAACAGAATAGCTCAAAACCCCAACGCCAAAACACGACACTGTAGTTGTCCGAAGCACTTTTCGGTAACAAAGTTACCTTCTTCAGGGACTGAAGTAAACTAAACCTAAATGAGAACTAATCCTAATTTATACTGATAGTTGTTAAGGTTCAGTGAACA